CAGATCACTGTGGATTGAGCTATGAACCGACTGATGTAATTCAGTCTTCCCAAGAAACTCATCACGTCTTTCCTGGTCTTGGGTGGAGGTAGCTCTTGGATTGCCTTTATCTTTGATGGATCCAACTCTATGCCTTTTTTGCTAATGATGAATCCCAATAGTTTTCCCGCGGGTACTCCAAATGCACACTTTGCTGGATTCAACTTCAGATTATACTTACGCAACCTCTCGAAGAACTTTCGTAAGTCATCCAGGTGGTCTGAACTTCTTTTGGATTTGATAACGACATCATCCACGTACACTTCAATTTCCTTGTGGATCATATCGTGAAAAAGGGTAGTCATGGCTCTCATATAGGTAGCACCGACATTTTTGATACCAAATGGCATTACTCTGTAGCAATACACTCCCCATGGAGTGATAAACGCCGTTTTCTCTGCATCATCTTCATCCATCAGGATTTGGTGATATCCTGCAAAGCAATCGACAAATGATTGCAACTCATGTTTTGCACAATTATCGATGAGTATATGAATATTTGGAAGAGGGAAATCATCCTTAGGACTGGCCCTGTTGAGATCTCGATAGTCCACACATATTCTGATCTTTCCATCCTTTTTTGGCACATGCACAATATTGTCTAACCATGTGGGGTAATTTGTGACCCTTACAATGTTCGCCTCAATTTGCTTAGTTACTTCCTCCTCGAACCTGAAACTCAAATCTAGCTTGAATTTTCTTGTCTTTTGCTTAATGGGTAGACAAGTGGGATCAGTCAGTAATTTGTGCGAGACAATATCAGTGCTTAATCCTGGCATGTCATCATAAGACCAAGCAAATACGTCAACATACTGCTTAAGCAATTTTATTAACTCTTGCTTTCTTTCAGCCTCCAAATGTATGCTGACTCGTGTCTCCTTCGCGATTTCTTTATCTCCTAAGTTGACAACCTCTGTTTCATCCATATTGGGTTTCTTCTGACTTTCAACCTGCTCGATCTCGTGTGGCAGATTTTCAGGCATCATGCTTTCATCATACTCTTCGTGATCTTGTTCATCATTTTCACCTTGATCGGTGGATTCGTTACATGTCATAACTGTTGAACGAGGATTTTTATTAATATGAGTGTTGAAAAGTGCAAAAGGTAAGTAAAAATAAATAGATATTTAAAATAACGAGATTTTTTTTAAAAAAAGAAAAAGAAAATAAAGACTTTTATTTCAAAGCATTCTAGCTTTTAGAAGAGGCAAGCAACAAAAGATTGGGCATGATTCAAGCCTCGATTTGATCATGCGAATTTTAAAATTAAGACTACTTTTCCACACTACCAGGACTCTGGTTGAAACAGGGACGGGCTGGTGGTCCAATTCTGCAAGATTTCTCCAGGTTTGGCTTCACGAATGGTTAACTTGTTGAGATTTATCCCTTCCTCTTCTCTAGCCATAGCCACGAACAGATTACCTATTCCTTCCATAATGTCATCAACGCCGGCTTGATCTGGAATCAAAGCTTGTTCTGGTACAAAAATTATATTGCTTGACCCGTGATGGTCCCTTCCCGATGTAGGCTCATATCCTAGTCCATTGGTGCCTCTCTGATGCTTCAGCTGGATCGACTCAACTATGCCATTGGACTTAGGTCCAACTCCATTCTTTAGCTGATATCCATACTTCAACATTTTTGAAGCAACCATTTTCGCTGCCTTGACAACTTGGTATCTTCGGGCTCTGCTCCCTCATTGACCCTTATAGCTTGCATGATTTCCAAAGTGTGAAAAAGTGGCTCCGTCTAACTCGTCGGTGACTGGGATAGAATTAACAGAATGAATGGGGTGACTAAGTTCTCCGTGGACGGTAACTTCTGTGCGTCCCCACTCAATCTTTTACACATTGATGAAGAGTGGAAGGAACCGCTCTTGCCATGTGAACCCATGGTCTTCCCAATAACAGGTTGTAGTTGGACGATACATCCATCACTTGAAATAAATTGGGAATTCAGCCGGCCCACTGCCAATGTGAGATGTATCTCTCCGATGACACTTCTTTGCGCTCCATCAAAAGCTCTGACTTTCACACAACTTTCCCTTATCTCTCCCATATTAACGCCTAAATCCCTCAAAAGTGGTGAAAGGACAGATGTTGCATCCAGAACCACCATCAATTAAAATTCTAGTCACAATTTTATCACAACATTTGACTGCGATGTGAAGCACTTTGTTGTGACCAACCCCTTCTGCAGGCAACTCATCATCGTGGAAAGAAATCTTATTAGCTTCCACTATTCTTCCAATCGTTGCAGCTAAGGTCTCACTTGTAGTCTCTTTTGAAATGATCACTCCGCTTAACACCTTCATCAAAGCATTCCTATGAGCTTCAGAACTCATAAGCAAAGACCAAATGGATATGTGGGCTGGCGTCTTCTTCAACTGTTCTTCAATCGAATAGTGTTTAGACTGCATCTTCTTCCAAAACTCTGTGGCTTCAGCATCGGTAACATTCTTCTTTGGATTATGTTCTTTTCCGAGAGCTCTTTGATTTATGTTCTCTGGGGCATAGCACCTCCCCGACCTAGTCATCCCTTGAGCCACGGCAGTGTCAATCATCTTGCCCTTGGCGTCTGCTCGATAGTCCCATGGGACTGCTTTGGTGTCATACTCAGGCTTCTTAGCAATTAGAGTGGTCACTACAACTCTTGGGAGATATGTTTGGACAGTCAGAGGTTCCCTTAGTTGAACGGTGATAACAGGTTGTGCCGAAGATGTCATGGCATCCGCTTCATCTATGTTTGGATAGTCGGGGGTCCCATATTCGTCATCCAGAGTAACTATGTTGACTTCCCGATTCTCATGGTTTGGCAAGGGATTGTTGTTCACATTGGGAGGTGCTGGAGTGCATTTGATTACTCCTCTCCTGATCAAAGACTCGATCTGGTTCTTCAAACCATAACAATCTTCTGTGTCGTGTCCTTGGACTCCCGAGTGGTAAGCACATCGCTTGTTTCCATCAAAATTACGAGGGATTGGATCAGGAAGTTTTCCTTCAACTGGTTGCAGCACTCCCGCTGTCCTCAACCTCTCAAACAATTGAGCATAGGGTTCAGCAATCGGTGTATAAGCTCGAGCATTCCTAGCTTCAGGGTTTGGACGTGGTCTCGGTGCATATGCTAGTCTATTTTGGTGGATTGGTGCTTGGACAGGGACATATGGTCTTGGAGGGTTTTGGTATGCTGGTGCTCGGGGTGGATTATAGTGTGATTGGGTATTATACACTGGGACGTATGAAGTATGGGCAGCGATTTCGGGATTATTGGGGTATCGGTGAGATGGTCCTCCTGGTTGGTATGTGATAGCTGAAACATCCTCCCTTTTCTTTTTGATGCCGCCAATGGAACCCGATTGTATAGCCCTACTTGCAGCTTGCAATGCGACCATAGACTGAATCTTCCCAGATTTAACACCCTCCTCTATAAAGTCTCCCATCTTGATCAATTCTGCAAACTTCTGACCCATCATTGACATCATCTTGTCAAAGTAGATACCTTCTTGAGCTCGAATAAAGTACTTCGAGAGCTCACTCTCATCTAGTGGTGGTTGCACGCTCGCGCCCTCAGTTCTCCAACGTCGTGCATATTCCTGGAAATTCTCAGATGGCTTCTTCTGTATATTGGCCAATGAGAATCTGTCAGCAATAATTTCAGTATTGAATCTGAAACGAGTCATGAAGTCCTCGGCCATTTCCTGCCAGTCACGCCATTTGCGAGGGTCTTGGCGGGTATACCAGGTTAATGCTTCTCCAGACAGACTTCGAATGAACAACTTCATCCTTAACTTCTCATTTCTCCCTACGCCGACTAACTTGTCACAGTATGCCCTTAAATGTGCGTGAGGGTCACCCTTTCCATCGAACATGTCAAACTTCGGAGGTTTGTACCCTACCGGCATGTCAATGTCTGGATGGATGCACAAGTCATCATAATCCAGACTCTCTGTCCCTCTAGTGACTTGTAAGCTTTTCAATGCTTTTCTCAAACCCTGAAGCTGGGCATTTATCGATGCATCTTCTTTCAACCGAGCATCTTTCTCCATTTCTTCATATTGATCGACCTCGTATGGAACATTAACCACAACTGGCTTAGTGAAGGTAGGAGCCCCAACGGCATATACGGGTATGTGAGCCATTTTCTCTTCATTTTGGATGTCTATCATGCTTCGAGAACCTTCGGGGTTCTCAATAGGTATCACTATGTTTGCAGCAGCGTTGAAGTCGTCCTTATCAGTCATCTTTCTTTTTGATCGAAGGTTGTATCGTGAGTCAGCCAGTTTGCAAGTCGACACAAATCAACGTACTTTTGGGGATAAATAAAGAAAATAAAACAAAGAAATAGAAAACTATGTTAGTTTTGGGAAATATTGAAAGTTGTAACAGATAAGTAGATGTAACACATATATGCGCCAATTCGGCGACATTCAAAAGCGCGTCCTAATATAGAACCTCTATTTGCCTGAGGTAGGCCAACGTTGCAATTAGTTTGATAATAAATGATCCATTTAAACACATTATAGATTTGGAGCAAACATAACTTCATTGATTAAGGTTTGGCTATGACAACGATGTAGGCGGTCAGAAGCCGAAGAAATGAAAGTACAGGAGTGGCCATAAGGCGTACAAGAGGGATAGGTCATATGGCCTTTTGAGGAACTTATGAGGGAATTCAAAGAAGAAAGATAATCTATGGCCAAGTTAGAGCATCATCATCATCATCGTCCACATTCATAGTAAGGACCTGGGTGATACTCTGGAGACTCTTCAAGGCTATGCTCGGATGATATGTTTATAACCCCTCCATTTCTTGGGTCATAGACGTTAGAACCCATCTCAGAAACCTCCTTCTTCTGGGTCCTCTTCGGGGTCCTTTTCTGGGTTTTCTTTAGGATCTTCTTCTGGGTCCTCTTCAGGATCCTCTTCAGGATCCTCTTCTGGGTCTTCTTCCTGGATTAAATAATCGACGGATCCCAAAACTATCTGATTGTACATGGGTGTAGTGAACCCCATGCAAAGAAGCACCGATTCTCTAATCCAATCAATTTGTTGTCTGTCTACAAACCCCAATGTCCGTGTGCGCTTGGACGAGCCATATGACTCACGGTATTCCGCCAAGCGTAATACTCTGGCGTACACCAGCTTTCTTCTCCTATGCCTAAATCACTTATGGATTCCCAGTCGGCTTGCATATTTCTTATTCGTTCCAGCGAGACTGAAGTGAATGCATCTTCATGTGATCCCATTATTGACCATAGCGGAATGTCTTGGATAACTCCAAACTGCCGCATAACCCGAAGAGGTGCATATGGTTGGAAGCCTCTGAGCCCGATTAACTCAATAAAGAAAAAGTACCAGCCAAGCGTAATACTCTGGCGTACACCAGCTTTCTTCTTCTATTTCTAAATCGATTATAAATTCCCACTCGGCTTGCATATTTCTTATTCGTTCCAGCGAGACTGAAGTGAATGCATCTTCATGTGATCCCATTATTGACCATAGCGGAATGTCTTGGATAACTCCAAACTGCCGCATAACCCGAAGAGGTGCATATGGTTGGATGCCTCTGAGCCCGATTAACTCAATAAAGAAAAAGTACCGAGTCCTTGCAAACGCCAATCCTGTTACCCAAGGGAACTTCCATTGGATGGCGTCTCCCGTGAGGTTGTTCAAAAATGTGCGCCATTCTTCCTTTCCTATCGGCGCACCCACCAAATTTTGGAGACGATCTTCATGGCTTTCGATCTTGTTAGGAGCACCTATGTGGTAATCCATTTGGGGATCACGTCGATAGAAATGTTCCCTTGCCCAAATCTGTAGCAATATACTGCATCCTCCGAAGAAATTGTGTCCCCTAATGCAGGCTGTCATTGAACGAAGAACTTCGGCAAGGATTATAGGCACCAAAGTAAATCTTTGTGGATCGTTGAAGATGCTTATAACCATCGGCAATATGTTGATGTCAAATAGAATTAGACTTTATCGGGAACACCATAACTACCTAAAAAAGCCATAACGAATACTCTTGGCCTCATATGCTCCCCATGCTCCGCGAGTGCATTCAAATTCACGTTGATATTCATAGTAACCTTCTGAACGCCCAAACCTCTGAAAGAGATAGTCCAACTCGACGTGCCCGCCGTCCACATACCTCAATGACCGAAATATGTGCAGATCCAAGAGACTTAGGAAGTTACCTGTACAAATAGTTGAGGGGATCACCGGCAGCCTCCCTCTAATCGGCAGTTCGATAAGACTACTGAACTCCTCTAGTGTAGGAGTGATCTCAAAATCCAGGAATTTGAAGGTTACGGTGCTCGGTTCCCAAAACCCCATCAGCTGAGTGACAAAGATTTTATTGCATTGTGTCCCTAGAAGCGACAATAATGCTCCTAGGTACCCTTGAATCTCTGCCCCGTGTATCTTGCGGATATTTTACCACCAATTTTGTAGAATGTGAGGTGCTGAAACGACCATTTGGATATCCGGTAAGTCTTGGTTGAGGTTCATCTGAAAAGAGGGCAAAGGGTGTAATGAGTTTATTTGCTCCAAATCCGTCAAATGTTTAAGTTTGGATAATTTATATCAATTTCACACAAAGTTTATGTCGTTGAGTTTTAAAGAAGAAACTCACTGACATTTGGGTGGTTTCCTAAATGCAATGACAATACCGTGTACTGTCTTGCCTAAGGCTATGCAACATGACCTATTTTAGAGAGTAAGATTTTTCCTATATGATGGAGAGTGGGACTGAGTAATTGCGAGAAGATGCACTATCTTAATTGCACCAACTCTGAAACTAAGGAATCCAAAGAGAGTTTCGGAGGAGTGCAGGAACACCCCTCGCGTGTACAGTGTGTGCGTGTACGGCCAAGACTCGATAGAATGTGCAAATGACAATGTAGGAAAGCAGTAACAAGCAGTGTCTTAAAACAAATAAGGAACACAAGCTTGGATTTCACTTGCGACCTTTCAATGAAAGCAATATATCTATAGCAAGCTGAAAAATAAACACGTAATCACAAATGT